GTTTAGAAATCTTTAATGTAATTACTTTTATTACTTAATAAAGTTTCTACTTTGGCATAACAAAAAAAAAAAAATAAAATAAAAAAAAAATAAAAAAAAAATAAAAAAATAAAAAAAAAATAAATATTTAATATGTTCATTAAACTATACTTGCAAGCATTATATGCAAAAATAAAATAAAATAAAACTTTTAACAAAAATTAATTTAATTTGAATTAATTTATTGTTGCAGCTGAAGCTAGAAGTTAAAACTCTAAACTTTAACCTAATTACAAAAAAAGCTAAAAAAATGTTTTACAAAAATTAAAATTTTCAACTTTAGCTGTCTTTAGCTTCACCATAATATTTATTTATTATACAAATAAATTACAACATATATTAATTAAAAATATAAATACAAATACACAAAAGCTATCTATTAATCTATGACAAAAAATTATTAATCTCTTCAATTTACTATAATATGATTCTATTGCATTTGTTGATGTTATTTTTAGAAAAAAGGATGAATGCTATCAGGCCCAAAAGGCCTATTGATTGATATTTTTTATATAATTTCATGTTATGTACTGTTTGATATCAGGAACTTGATAGTTATTGATTACATTCTTAATAAGTTCATGATATTCAGTTTTAGTTACTTTATATTCATACATATCATTTTGCTCCAAACCTTTTGTTCGTAAATTCTACTCATTCAAGTATAAATTACATAAACAGTGCAAAAAAGAATCTTGCATATTTGTTTACCTTTTGGTAAACTAGAAAAAGCCTTTAAAATATTATTTGTCTCAATATTACTTTGATCAGAAAGAAAGTAACAAGGCATTCAAGAACTTTTAAAATGCTAAATTATTTTGAGAGTCTCTGCAATCATCTTGCTAGTTTTATTTCTAACAAAAAATAGGCCTTAACATCCCAAAAGCCATAGTTGTTTTAAATATACAATATAAATAATTTTTAATCATATTTATTAACTTATATGTCAAACCAATCAATGTTAACTACCCAAAACAGTAAAGCTTTTCAAGCTGATTCAGGCATGCAAAAGCAAAACCCTGAGCCAACTGGTTATAACATTTTACTTAATATTCTTTTTTTAAAAAAAAGAACAAATTCTTCAATATCTAGCTCTAAACTTTTATTTTCTATAAAATACAAATTCTAAGGTCTGTAAACCTTTTTTTTATATTATAAACTTCTATTCTTTTTAATTCTTTTATACTAGAACTAAGGTCTAACCTCTTAGTTGCATACTTATTGATTGCATTAACAATAGCTAGGGTGGGTAATTTTTAATAGCTTTTTCTCAACCAAGCTATAAGCAAGCTGAGAACATTTGAACTTTTTACTCTTTTCAATGATATATATGTGATCAAAACTGTTTAGATATCATTTAACAAGTATTTTTTGCATATTCATAAATCACAAAAATCTAATTTTTGCATAACATAAATTAGGTAAATGAACTTTTATTTTTTTATATTTTTTACTTAAAACTCCTTCTTTACAAATATTTAAGAATAGGAGGTAGTAGTTTAAAATTATATATAAACCTAATAGTAATTTTTTTTTATATTTAATTTTATAAAAATTATATTAAGTAAACTAATTTTAATTTATAAGAAAAGTTTGTAGAGTAGGTTTTTCTGATTCTAATGATAGT